GCTTACATTTGGTATCAGAGCCATGAATATTTCCGCTTACATTTGGTATCAGAGCCTAGATTATATGAGTTAGGACTCAATTATTTATTATTATTTTTGTGAATACGAATTGATGGTATTATTTTTTTATTGTCGTAATAAATTTTACCATTACGGAACTGCTCCATAAATAATATGAAAATTGGAATTGATATTTTGTGATTACTAAATCTATGAAGTATATATGGAATCGAAAATCTTTTATGTATTTATTTTAATTGGAATTGTTGCATACTTCTTCAAAATTCGTATGGTGAAAGTAATAGTGTTCTGATAGTACGTTATTTTTCAATTGCCCTTTATTTTGGATCAATTAAAACAATATATATGATTTTTTGGTTACTGAAATGCAAAATAAGTGAATGTCGTCAATAGTGCCGGTAACTTTGTTTATCTGGTGTTTCTTTTGCAAATTAATAGAACAATTCCAAGTTAATAGCCACTTCTAAATTCTTTTGTTCAATTTTTTCACGCCAATACAGTATCATATAAAATTATATATTACTAATTGAATTATATATAATTAACTAGATTAATTATTTTCAAGACAATATGTACTATATATTTCTAAATTTTTATTGTATTGTCTTGGACATTTTATTAAATAAATGTTAGTTTATATAAATTTGTAATATATTTGTTTTGTCAAGTATTTTGAAATATTATATAATATCTCTATAATGTTGAGATTGATACTGTTGAAGACAAAATTTATTAGGAATGTTATATGGTTTAAATTCATGATTGGTTCATGATTTATTTTGGCAAGAATATTTTTTTAATTCTTATGCAAGAAATTCTATAAATTATTGTGTGTGATTACCACCAAAGTGAGATCGCTCGTTTTAATTTGTAAAAGTCTCTTTGTAGTTTGAGGAATGGTTTTAAGTCATTACTGTGATTGTCTTCCCAAAGGTGAACAATTGTAAAGATTGTGGTTGATTAAGGATATAAATTTTTGAGATGCTTTGGACTAAGGGATTTATTTATCCAAAGGAAATAAATTTCTAAACTCAATGTATGCTCATTGAGTAGCTTATTCTTGAAATTTGTAGATGAAGTTGTTGGAGGTGTTTTGGTTTAGATAATTTATCTACCCAAAGGAGATAGATTTTCGAACCCAATTTATGCTCGTTGAGCGACTCATCTGAGGTTCTGACCTTGGTTCTAACCTGGGTTTTACGCATTCCACCCAATGGGGATTGTGTGATAATGTTGGCCTCTTAGTGATAGCTTATGTTTATTAAAGCTATATCTTGCCTTTATTATTTGTTCTAATGCATTCCTATTTTGTCTAAACAATGACCTTCTCTATGAACAATTGTTCTACTTCTATTGAGATCCTGAGTGGGTCTAATTTTAAAAAATGGAAGAAAGACTTAGAGTTTTCGTTAGGGATTGCTGACCTTGACATGGGAATTGTGAGTTCTTTTGATGTACTTGGTTAGTGGGAGTTTGTTCTTTATGTCATTTTTCTTTTATCATGTTATATTTTATTTTAGACACTTTAAATGTTGGATTGTCGAGTACTTTCTATTTTAAGCAATTGATATTACAATGATTATTATTATTATTATCATTTGTCATTGTTTATTTACATGTAAATTGCTAAATTCGGGACTCAGTGTCATCGAAATCATTGTGCCTATGGTCGACACTAGTTTGGAGTTCAAGGCATGGTTATTATTTTGAGCTCGGTGTCTTCGGGACCACTATACCGGTGGTTGATGTCATATTGGAGCTGAAATATGATTTTAAGCTCGGCGTTGTCAGGACCACTGTGCCGGTGGTCGACGCCATATTGGAGCTGAGGCATTATGGTTTATAAAACCATACAATTTCTTTGTGTTTAATGCATTTGAGAGAAATTGTTAAGGACTGACGAAGAAAATAACAAATGGTTGTTGGATCATATTAGCATGTTATTTTCTTGCCACACTCCACACTGATGACTAGTTGACGGAGTATGTAGTATTTGTAACCACGAAAGGTTTTATGTCAATGAAGGACATAATAATCGTCGTGATTCAATTCTGCTTAACTTTTGTTGGATGGAGTCATATTAAAATATTGCACCTGGAATCATGGATTTCCTTAAAATGCGGCCGCATTTTAAGGAATTAGTCATTAACCTGAGAGTCGTTTTCAAAATGTATTTTAAAATAAAAATCATACAATTGATTTTGCCCAAGTGGGAGAATGTTAGATTTATCTAATATTTTATGGGCTATATTTTATGTGGTTTAATTTGTAAAAAACAGGTTAATCGTGATTCTGATGGGGGTGCATATATAAGCCCTTTAATTAATTAAGTGATCAATTTTTAACTAATGGCTGAGTATCTGAAATCTGATTGGTGTGGGTAAAAATGTGGGCTTTAACCTTGGGCCCATAATGGGTAGGGACTAGGGTTATATATATATATATTATATGGCTAGGTCCCCTCTGTAATCACAAAAAGGAATCAGAAACATAACTGACGACTCCATAACTTGTCCCATTGAAAGTTGTGAACGGGAGTGTGAGATACAGAGGAAGATCCGGTCATTCATCCATTCGGAATTCCGAATCATGACTTCAACAAGTAAGTATTGATGTTTTAATCTTATATAATATCCATAAATATTTTCGCTTACAAAGAGTAGTACGTGTTGACGATTTATTATTAAAATTAATATATTATTAAAATTTAAAAGCGTGAAATTGATTTAAAAATTAATTTAAATATTGTTTTATCTAATATATTTAAAATTAAAAATTATTGAAATAATCAAATTGACTAAGGATCTGTTTGGTTCAAATGAGGGAGAGAGAGGGGAGGGGAGAGATTTTAATGAAGGGGATGAGAGGTTGTTAGGAAGATCCTAAAGTCCCAAATTGGTCGGAGATAGAATATTGAAATAGTTTATATAGAGTGACACCCCTCACCTTACTAACCGGTTTTGTAAGATTGTGTTAGGCCAAACTCTAATAGAGGCGAATGATTTTTTTAATCAGATAAGTGTTTGATTCAAAAGAGGGAAGGAGATGAGTTTTATTAATAATTTACATTTTTATCCTTATGATCTTATATAAGTCATATGATATTAAAATGTGAAAAATTCATGCGTATTTTTGTTGGTAATAAAATTTCTAATATTGAGTGATTAAAAAAATATTTATTTGTCACATAAAGTTAAAAAAATTGAGTACAATTGATTCGACTTATAACTTTCCAACATAAATTAAACTATAGGCCAATAACATCGTTTAAATTGTGAAGAATCATATAACAAAACAAATATATAAACTAACTTATTATTAAATATTAATGGTTCAAATTATTTAATAAAATGAATAAACAAAAACAAATAAAACGAATGGTTTACAATTTGATATAAAAGAAGATATGATAGAATACATAAAAAAAATTAAAAAAAAAACGAATATAACTAAACATAATTTTTTTTATAAAAAAAACAATAATTATGATTTATATTAAGTATAGAAATTATAAAATATTTTGAAAATAGAGAACAATTATAATAAGTTGATAGAAATAATAAAAAAAAATACAAAAGAAAACAAATAGTTTTGAGATACTGAAATTAAACTGAGAATATTTTAATAAATATAATAATTTTTAAATATTGAAACCCATATTCTCTCCTCTTCCCTCTAAATCTCCCAAATTTAGAGTGAACTAAAAAGTGTGTTTTTGAGGAATTTTTCTCCCCTTCACTCTCATCCTCTTCTAAGATTTGAACAAAATATATTTAATTAAAAATTTTCCCTCCCCTTCCTTTCATCTACCCTGAACCAAACACACTCTAAGAAAATAATTTTTGAGGATAAATTTTTTTATTAAATAAAAAATTAAAATGAAATATTAAATCTGAATGAATTAAACAATAATAATAATATAAAATATAATGATAAATTATAATTAATTTTTTGTTTTAAAGTTTTTTTTTTTCATTTAATAATGGGCCAAAGAGAAACCAATAAAAATGGTAGCCGGCATACACAAGCCAAACCCTGAAGACAATTTCGCAACGCTAAAAGCAACAAAACGAGAAATTATAGAAAGAGGACTTATTTACGAGCTAAGGATAGAGTAAGAAGAAATACTCATCGCACCTTATTAAATTACAAAATCGATTTTCAACCACCGCAAAAGCTCTAAATTGTTCTTTGAGTAGAATCCAGTTTTGGAAGAAGAATCAATTTCCTCCCAAACAACTTTTAATAGAGGAAAATTGCGCTTGACCAAACAAAACGCAAGTAAAGCACCGACGGAACCAGATCCACCGAAACCCTATCGCGTTCATATCAAACCATATCATCATCGAGATCCAAAGGTTTCTCCCTCTACTCCGTTCATCTCCATTTATACATTGATTGTTTCTTCGTAGTTAATACCTAACTGTTAGTTATTTTATTCACGATGATGATGATGATGATGATGATTACCATTACCGATATATTCCAAAACAGTGCCATAAATGGAAGCAAAAAAACAAAACTATTTTATAACGTTATCATCAATGCAATAACACCACTCTTTAATTAATTGTGTATTTCGTCAAATTTGAGCTAATTTTAAATTTTCTACTATTTTCCTTCCAATTTTATGCTTTTTTTCATGTGCCTAATTCCATTGTTCTTTATGTTTTGTTATAATGTTTATTCTTCAATTAGGAGTTTTTGGAGTTTTGGAGTTTTTTTTGGTTGGATTTAAATCAATTGTTATTAAATCTACATACCATACTCCGCACAATATAGCACTCACACCTCTGAAAAAGTGTGTCCGTCGCCGCGCCAGTGTCAGGGTCTTTTTTAGGGTGTCCGTGCTTCATAGCCCCTGTCCCTTTTCCGTATTAAAATCTCTTACATGCTTGAATGCTCTTGGTGCAGGTTTACTGGTGATATATATTCTCTCCCGTGGCTTAATTGATGATAAAGTTGATCCAATTTCTGGAATGGAGATGAGCTGCTCATCAAATGTTAATAAAGATGTCCCCATGTGTTCTACTAGCACAGTTAATATTTCACACTCCCACCAGAGTTTTGGTGGTGGCTTTGTGCAACAGCCTGTTTTTGCGAGTGGATGGATGTATGTGAATGAACATGGACAAATGTGTGGTCCATATATTAAGGAGCAATTATACGAGGGACTAACTTCAGGTTTCTTGCCATTTGAGCTTCCTGTGTATCCTGTAATCAATGGCACAACAATGAACCCTGTACCGTTGAATTACTTCCAACAGTATCCTGACCATGTTTCCACCGGGTTTGCATATATGGGTATGAATTTCTCAGACACAAAAATGTCTACTAATGGCTCCTTTTCTTCTCAGGATATGACATTATATGAGCAAGATAGATCTTTTGAGCCCGCTGCTCTTATGGCTGTTAACGCTAATTCAAAGTCTATTTCACAGTCGAATGTCAATGACTACACTAAGGAATCCAATCACTTGAATTTAAACTCAGAGGCATTCAGGAGGTTTATTTCTTGTCAGATGGTAGTGCAATATCTGTTCTCTGCTTTGTTAAATATGAGTTAGCTTGACATCCGTGTTGCTTATTTTGATGATTGTGTCTTGTTTCTTGTTTTAGTCGGGAGGGGAATGTTGTTGGCTTTATGAGGATAAAAAGGCTATGAAACAAGGGCCACATTCCATTTCAGAATTGATTTCCTGGCACCACCATGGATATCTTGAAGATTCAACAGTGGTAAGATACTATAATTTATTCTGTGAAATAATATATAAGATGCAGATCTGTTGCAGGAAAGGAAATGATTAGTTGATAAGTTTATGATTATTATAAGTTTCCTTTACCCAAAGTATACATTGCACCTCATTTTTTTTTTCCGTAAGTTTATTTATGAAGCTAGGATTAAATTTTCTTTCATTGCAAGGGTTTTGGAGGTGTCCACAAGTGTTGGTGGGGTTTTCATGGATATCCTTGAATATAATCTCTGATCTTATCCTTTTATTCTTATAGTTGCGTGCGTGACTTTTATTTTTCTGGGCATTATTTTTTACTCTGATGTTCTATAAAGACCTATTTATTAGAACATGATGTTATTGCTCATGTTTGCTTCTGGGTTCTATAAAGAAAGTACTTTTATTCTAATAATAATCATTATTTTGATTTATTTATATTTGTTTACAGATCTCCCATTTTGACAATAAGTATGGAAACTTTGTGTTGTTGGCTGCTGTAAATGCATTGAAGGGAGATATATCTGGAACCATCTGTGGATCAGCTTCCAAAATCAATGGGGTCGGTGATGTGATGAACTTAAATTGTGAAATATCTGAAGACATTTCTTCCCAATTGCACATGGGTGTAATGAAAGCTGCCCGAAGAGTTGTGCTAGATGGGATTATTGGCGATATCATTTCAGAATTTGTTAATGAAAAGAAATGCAAGAACCAAAAGCTCGAGTCTTCTGATCGAACTTCTGAAACTTGCATGATGGACAATAAAATGGTAACGTTTAAATGCTTTGCAGTTTTTGAATACTTTAAATTTTGTTCATTGTGCCATGTCATCGAATATTTCCTTTAACAGTTTGTGATTTTTGTGTAGATGAACAATGGTACTTCCATTTCTCCTAGTGAGCCTGCGCCTTCCCATTTTTTGGACGACCAGGCTTGTCGTGAAATTTCTAGACCATCTTCAACGAGTGTTAAGGCAGTTGGAAGCATTGAAAATTTTTGGTGGTCATATTCTGTTGTTCGTAAAGCACTTTTTGATTATTGCTTGCAAGTCATGTGGAATGCAGTGTTTTTTGACACGGTATCAGAGTACTTATTTTCCTGGAGGAAGAGGAAATATTGGTCTCATCCTAAGCCTCCATTGACTGTTGATGAATCTAAAGATTATGTTAAAAAGATTAAATCAGAAGCTGTGAGTTCTGGTTGGCTTGCTTACTTGAGGTTTTTGCTTTAATTGTACCTATAATAATCAAACAGTTGTTGTACAGTTGGTTCTCAGGCCAGGTTCCTCCATATGCAGTGTTGATGCTGATATCCAGTGTGGCGTGATGGCGACAGAAAAAGATTATCATCCCGAGTTGTTTTTATCTGCTAATAACCTCAAAAGCCGAAACATAGCCGAAGGTCAAACAGTTTCATGCAGTTATGATAATTCTAAAGTTTTGACATGCATTCTTGAACGCGTGGAGAATGATCTTCACTTCTCTGCAAAGGTGTCTCTAGCCGATTATGTTCTAAGTGTTGTTGAAAAGGAAGTAAACCAAGTAATTCCTTCCCTAGAAAAAGATAAGTTCAGTGAGGTAACTTGAATACAAGTATTCATATTTTTTTTATCTACTTAGACAGTAGACACTATTTATTGAAGATTCCTTTAATACTTACAGGTTGATGGTAGTAACTGCCATATCTCAGAGATGCTTACCAGTAAAACATCAGTTAAAGAAATCCTAAATGACAAGTCTGTCGATCCTGTGAAAAATAGAGACTTAAGTTGCATGTCTTCACCTGGAAACCGAATGTCTAATGTTTTCTCAAAAGCATTTCAAGAATTGTGTGGGCATTTAAATGATGTGGTTGATGAAGAGGAGTTTGGTGACATGCCACCTGGATTCGAAAATAACTCTCAAATAATATTCCCTCCCTACAACTCAAAATTTCGACCTTCAAGAATAGTTGAATGTAATCCCAAGATTACAGAGTATGTTGCAGTTGCACTGTGCAGACAGAAGCTGCATGACGAAGTCTTAGAGAAGTGGAAGTTGTCAATTCTTGATTCTACATTTAAACAGGTTCTTATGTCATCATGTACCATAAAGAAGAATTGTCAGTCTCGTGGTCATGAGGTAAGAACTTGTTCAGTATTAATTGAATTTGAATACTGCTTTTGGTTTCTCTGAATGTCTGTCTGTCTTTGTTATTTGGTTTTATTTCATCTAATTCCTGTATCTTGATTTGTTTATTTTAATTTTATAATGCTTAAGAAGAGGAAGTCATTTGGTGCAAATAAGGAACATTTGAATGGTGCTACTTCTGGACTGGGAAAAAGAAAGGAGGGCTCAAAAAGTTCTGGAGTTTGTCTGTTGGATGGAAAGTATGCATATCAACGTAAGAAGCTACCACGGAAAGAGTTTTGCTCCTTTCAGCCTGTTGTAGAAGATAATTTAGGGCCAGGGAAGAAACCTCTGGCTAACTTATGGAAACATGTTTCTGGAGATGTGAATGAGAGTTCGGAAGTTAAAATAACTGCTATTAAAGGTGGAAAGACAGAGATGATTAAAGGGAAGAAGGATGCATCTTCTAAGAGCGGGTCTTCTGTCAATGTCGATAATAGCTCACCCAATGATCAATTATCCTTGAAGAATAAAACTAGCCAGAAAGCATTGAAGTTTGCGCATACAGTTCAAAGTATATAATTTTTTTGTTAAGTTGTCATTAGTTTTACATTATAATTTTTTTAGAAATAACATGTCATATCCCATTATTCAGATGGTGTTATGGATATTATGAAGTTTAATGAAAAGAGGTCATCAGCATCTTCTAAGAGCGGGTCTTCTTTCAATGTCGATAATAGCTCACCCAATGATCAATTATCCTTGAAGAGTAAAACTAGCCAGAAAGCATTGAAGTTTGCGCATACAGTTCAAAGTATATAATTTCCTTGTTAAGTTGTCATTAGTTTTGTGCAATTATAATTTTTTTATAGAAATAACATCTGTCATATCCCATTCTTCAGACGGTGTTATGGATATTATGAAGTTTAATGAAAAGAGGCCATCAGCATCTTCTAAGAGCAGGTCTTCTTTCAATGTCGACAATAGCTCACCCAATGATCAATTATCCTTGAAGAATAAAACTAGCCAGAAAGCATTGAAGTTTGCGCATACAGCTCAAAGTATATAATTTCCATGTTAAGTTGTCATTAGTTTTTTTACAATTATAATTTTTTTAGAAATAACATCTGTCATATCCCATTATTCAGATGGTGTTATGGATATTATGAAGTTTAATGAAAAGAGGCCATCAGCATCTTCTAAAAGCAGGTCTTCTTTCAATGTTGAGAATAGCTTACCCAGTGATCAATTATCCTTGAAGAATAAAACTAGCCAGAAAGTAGTAAAGTTTGCGCATATAGTTCAAAGTATATGAGTTTCCTTGTTAATTTGTCATTAGTTTTATGATTATAATTTTTTTAGGAATATCATCTATCATTTTCTATTATTCAGATGGTGTTACAGATATTATGAAGTTTAATGAAAAGAGGCTATCGCCATCAACTGATAATGTTGTTGGTATGAAAGTAGCTAAAAGAAATAACTCTGATGTCACCATTCACAGGAAGACAACTGGTCATATCTCTAGAGAGGAACTAAGTGGTATGTTTATTTGTAATATGTCTTTATTAGTTCTCACTTCTTGTTCCTTGTTGAAACTTGCCTGATTGATGTAAAATATCTTTATTAGTTTTCAGGATAGATTTATTTTGTTTTTGGTTTGTTATTGCCATTTGCAGTGACAAATAAAGTGTCAAAATCAAAAAGGAAGCATCAAACAGACGGTGTTACATCCTCACATCCTGCTAAGGTTTTGAAAATTTCAAATAGGGGGTCTAGTCTGAGAGCTAGCAAACAAGTAACTGAGGCACTGAAGGAATCTGCCATATCCAAGTCATTGGATTTATGTCCTAAATCTAATGGATGTTCTAGGACTTCTATTAATGGGTGGGAATGGCATAAATGGTCACTAAGTGCTAGTCCTGCATGTAGAGCACGCGTCAGGGGTCTTCCACGTTTTCAAAACAAGTCCAGAAATTCTGAAAACATTTCATCCCAGATGTCAAATAGTAAGGGTCTTTCTGCAAGAACCAATAGGGTGAAATTGCGTAACCTTCTTGCTGCAGCTGAGGGTGCAGATCTTCTGAAAGTGCCTCAGTTGAAGGTGATTGAAAAACGAGTGTTTTTTGGTCACACTTATCTATAGCATTGTGATAAATCAGATTTCAACTATTATATTTTGCATCTTTCAGGCACGAAAAAAGCGATTATGTTTTCAAAGGAGCAAGATACACGATTGGGGTCTTGTTGCCTTAGAGCCAATAGAAGCAGAGGACTTTGTGATTGAATATATTGGAGAATTAATTCGTCCTCGGGTATAAACAAATTAAGATTGTTCTAAAGATGCATATTTCAAGGCATATCACGTCGGTCTATTTTGCAAAGTAAATTTTGACTTAAATACTCATATACAACAATATGCATAAAATCAATCAAATTAGGCAGTTTTTTTGTAACCTTTCCAATTTTTTTTCTGTAAATATTCATGTCTAGGAAGATGTGTCACTTTTTGCTTAATTCATTGCAAACGAGCTCCTATATTTTTGGGGAAAGATTTTCTTTAGAATATATTTATTTAATGACTGCTTTATTGAAGAATGAATAGTTTATTGTTGGTAAAATCCGTAACTTGTTCAAAGTATAATAATTAAGGTGCACAGAAACTAAGGAACTTGGAATATAAGTTGATCAATATGCATAGAAAAGTATATAAAAAGTAAATTATTTCTGTACTTAATTTTGTTGCTCTACATATCAACAGTTAATCATTAAGCATACTGGCCCTTCTAATTTGCTTTCCAATTCTTGGTTGGGCAAGTGGCATAGGCATAGTCAACATTGTCTTCTCAATGCAATTGCTCCTTTTTTTTTATAATTTTTATAAATGAATTTATTTTTATCTGATAAATTGACTGATGTGATTTTATCATCTCAGATATCTGATATTCGTGAGCTTCAATATGAGAAAATGGGAATTGGAAGCAGTTACCTTTTCAGAATTGATGATGGTCACGTGGTTAGTATGCATTGTAGTATTTTTTAAATTTTTGATGTTGGAAGTTTCATTTATGTTGCTTTCCTAATACAAGTTTGGGATCATTTGTCAGATGTATCTGATATCCTATTATCCTTATTTACCCTATGCTGATATTGATTGGTATTGTTGCCTAATGCCTATCCTTTTCTGCAATTAAAACATATAGAAATTAAAGGACCAAACTATTGTAAGAATTAAACCTAATGGATTGTGTTAAGAGTCTTGCAATTTTGTTGAGTTGATGAGAAATCACAGACGTGTCCAGGTGTCTATGGATAGACTTTAGAAGGTAGATATGAACGCTTGTAACTAAAATCTTAGATATTACTTAACCAAGAAAACGATTCAATCTTTTTGTCCAACTCTGGTTTGAATACAATAATTTGGTAAATCCACCGCTATTGTAAATGGGCTCGTGGGATGGTTAGCTTAATTGTTAGTCGTGGATTTCTTAATCTGATCACAGGTTATTTACTCATGAAAACATTATAACCACCTGACCATGAGAACTAAAGTTCTATGCTATGGCTTGTAATGCATGTTATTTGGTTCTTCTAGACACATTTTACACGACAATCCTTTCAGACACACATGTTCACGATGCATATGGTTGATTTTCCACTAGATAAGCTTGAATAATACCTAATTTACAAAAGCTTATCTAAAGGAGTATCAAGTTAAATTTAGTTTTTCACATCCTTTAATTAATACTATCATGTTGGTAAATCCAATGATAACATTTGAAGTGATAGATTTCCTTTTCCTGTCTGTTTGTAGGTTGATGCTACAATGAGAGGAGGGATTGCAAGATTTATCAACCATTCTTGTGAGGTACTTGTGCAGTAATATTATATGTTGAAATGCATGTGTGTGTTTGGCTGCATGCCTGTGTTACTTCAACTCTTGATTTCACATTCTTCCTTATTTGAACTGAACTTTTGGCAGCCCAACTGTTACACAAAGGTTATATCTTTTGAGGGTCAAAAGAAGATTTTCATATATGCAAAGCGGCATATAAATGCCGGTGAAGAAATTACATACAATTATAAGTTTCCCTTGGAGGAGAAAAAGATTCCCTGCAATTGTGGTTCCAAAAAGTAAGATTATTATAATCTTCAATTTCTTTGCATAATATGTCCTACAATTTTATTGGTACTGTTCCCAGATATTTGAATTGCATTGATTTAATCTATATGATGCAGAGACACGATACGGGTGTATCGGATAGGGCAATACGCCATTCCTTGAAAATGAGTAGAGGGAGGATGAGTGGAAGTGACGAGATCACAAACCTATAAGGCAATATATGAAAACTTAATAATATATTTCGATTATGAAAATGCACAAGAACTAATCTCTATATATAGACTATTCTAATCTAATGGGCCTAACTAATGGACTAAAGGTCCGAATATAAATTACCACGAAAACAATAATACGATATTCCTTAAAAACTAGTACAGGAGTTGAGTGCTCAGTGGATGAGTGGATATATTAGAAGTTATGAGATCACAAACCAATGTAATTTGACGGTAGTTTTAATAGCTCCTTTGATGAGTAGATAGCTAAAATTCCCAAAGATAAGGGTTTGGTCATGTGAAGAAAAGACCAATTGACAATCATTAAGAATGGGTCTAATTGATCAAGTGAAAGTTGGCCTGATTAAATTTCGCGGAGAAAAATTTCAAATAAGTTTGAGGAAATATCATTAAGGTCCAATAGAAATGGTTTTTCTGATTTTTGTAATGAAGCACAGATGTGTTAAATTATTGTATTAGACTGGACCCTACCTAATGGGAAATGGTTTGGATCCTCTCCTTCCAATCTCTCTCCACCTCCTTTCCACTTTTAATTAATTTTCCTTCTCACTCTTCCTATTGAGATAGAGAGTCCAATTCCGTTTGGTTATTTTATAACCCACAAAATCTATATAAGGTTGGCTTTGGTGGTTGGGATGAGGGAGTTGAGTAGTGTGAAGTGATAAGGAGGGTTCTATAACATATACTATTGTTAGCCATTCCAAAAAAAGCATCAATTTGATAGACATTTGAGTAGGATCAGCATTTTATCAGAACTTTTAGGATGAAATAAAATGTGAAAGTCACCTTTTTCTTTTCTTGTAATTGCAACATTTATGTCCTTATTATGCAGGTGTCGCAGATCATTGAATTAAGCTCTTATTGAAACTAATACCTGTATGCACTTACTACTGGAGAGTGGACAAATTTTCCCCTTAGGTATGCACTTGTCTTTAAAATTTGTGCTTAATCTTGGCATGCATTGACCAACTGTTGTTCATTTTATTATGTGTTTCCTCAGTCTGTGCAGTGGTCATGTATGTTTATTTAATCTTCCTTATATGACATCTTTGTCTTTTATAGATTCAAATGTTAAAATTTCCTCTCTTTTTGGTAACTGATTAGTTGATACTATAGATTATAATTAATTCTCCCCCTTTGTTGATAGCTACTTCTCCTTTACCTTTGTATGTTATAGTTTTTTTTTTTTTAATTTTGACTAGGATTTTGTTAAGTGCATGCATTCAACTCTACAAACATGTATATTCGGCTTCAGTTTTATCAAACATGTGTTAAAAAATGTTTTGGAAATGAGTATATCTTAGTTAATTGTGAATGTTCCGTGGATGCAATTGTTCAGAGAGAATTATTTTATTTTGACTGGAATATTTGTCAGAAAGAGTTATTCTTCGATTGAAATGTAATCTTATTGTTGCTTTCCTTCTTGCAGTATAATACTTCCAACATACCCGTTGTACACTGAATATTTGAAGACTGTTACTTTATATTTCACTGGACTGTTGACATCAAATTTGTATGTGTTGCGACAGTGCTTGTAAACCTTTACCTTGTATGTTTCCTCTCACTTAAATTAATCTGGCGGTCACGGGGTTAAATATCTATTTTTTAATCATCAGCATGCTATATTAATTTTTTTTTATTACTTGATATGGACCTCATGTGAGTAATTGCATAGATTGGTTTCCTCTGTTAAAGAACGGACATGTATTGCTCATTTGGCATCTGCTTGATATATTCTGTCTGCACTTTTACATTTACAACATGCATTAGCTATCCTTCACTAAGTGGAAATCGCGTGGTTGTTGACACTTTTCTTTTTAAAATGTTGTAGTTTTATTTTTCTACGTGCTCTGTATCAAAAGATGTCCAATGCTTCGCAAGCTAATGTAGATTCCAACTACCAATGACTGCATGTTTCTCTTTGACAATTTAGCGTACCTTGTTTTGTGATAGCTCTTGTTCCTTTTATGCCATGAATTTTTTGATGTTTTGATGATAATAATAGTAGAAATTAAACTAAGACATGCCATCCAGTGCATGAGTTCTGGGTATTGATTTAAGTGTTGTGGTGTTTCAGGTAGTTATGGATCTCTACTTGTTTGGTGATGGGAAAACAAACTTGAGCCTTCTTGTAGATGGTTGTGGCAGTTGAGTTTCTCCTCTTAGAAGCTGTAAATAATTGTTTCTCCACGTTTATATAATTTAGTGAAGGAATGATTTGGTACAAAGATGCCTAATTCTTTTAACGAGTTAAAAACTTTGGATCATAGTGCATGCTTCTCAAAATTACCATATTGCACATCTCGAATCCCCCTTCTTCCTCCCCAGTTCCTTCTCTTATTTTTTTGTCCCACACCTTGTTTCTATAACAAAATTTTGATGGAATTGTATTAGTGCAGCTGAATAGATGGCAACTACTTGACCGGCGTAACTACTGGCCAACATTATAATAATATTGGAATTCCTGTTGACAAGTGGATTGTAAAATTATTAGACGTCCATATCAACCTTTTTGAACAGTCAATTGTTAAATATTAATATGCCGAAACTTGTTTTATTTGCATGATGTATTTAAGGCTTTTTTTTTTCTTGCCACAAGTGAAATCACTTGCCTATAACATAAACTGGCAACTCTTTTTCGGGTCTGGAAAACCATACCTTAAAAATGGTACTCAGGCATGCTGTCAAATCCCTCATTTATCAACGTTGCGAAATTGATAAGATTTCAGGTAAAATGGTTTGTAATTGGGGAGTTCAATTTCGCGATGTTAATGATGATTGGTAGTAGTCGTGTAGTGAAAATAATTATGGATTTTTTTTCTTCCACTGAATAATAATTACTATAAAAATGAAGTCATATTGAGGTTAGTGAGTACTTAACATTTAATATCTTATGTGGCAAATGTTTGTTTGCCAGGGACTTAGCATACTTAATTTGTATTCCATGTTTTCAATTCGTTTATTTTGCTTCCCACCTTCAATTCCTGTGGTTTGCAGGAGTAGCTCAAGTAGGAAAAACTGTTTGCTGAATTGGATTATGCTACCGGTATGTTTCTCTTTCTGCCCCTTGTTATAGTCATTTCTGGTCAGATTTGTTTACATGTTCTCCAGTGGTACCCTCTATTCAACTCTTGTGCAAATAGAGTGAGCACTGATCAGCAACTTAAGGTATTAAAAAATGAATTCCTGGCCAATACCACTACCATTTCAGATGCACCAAATGTTAAAAATTTGGGTGAGGAGAGCAGCGGCCTTAGGCTTTAGCTTTGTTTTATTGATTGCTTTCTTACCATGCTTTATTATTTTCTAAGAAATTCACATGCTCACTAAATTACTACAATGAACTCGTATCAAATTGTTCTATACTAATGAACCAAATTATTTTTATATTTAAATTATTTTACCCTTGTAAAGTTTTCGTGAAAATAGTGTGGAGTTTGAACCTGTGAGATTAACAAACATTACTCTATTTTACACGTTTTCTTTACAAGTACAAAAAAAAGACTATTTTTTTTGATAAAATGGTAATTTTACCTAGTAATGTTAGGAATACACTATATACATTCCACAACATATTTCAATCGATTGGCAGAAACTCACGATTTCACTAAATTATGTAGGTCTCATATTTTGATGAAATATATATAAATTCTAACCAATAAAAGAGTTTGAATGTAATATTTGTAGCATTTTTATTTTTCAAAAGGAAAAATGTAGATGGATTAATTGAGATATTAACATTTGTGAGGGGCTTGCATGAGAAACAAGTCGGGAATGGAAAACTGATATTTAGTACGGATAAAATTGTGTTAAGCTATATACCAGTTCTTTTAAAATAATCATTTGAGTTCCATACATTTTTAATCCTTTGTGTATTTGTTTTTGTAGCACTCAAACATGACACCTTTGAAATGACAAAAACTCTTGAATCCCTCCAACATGAATTTGGAGGTGGGAGAAATTTAATGACTGAATCTAAGTGCTTATAAGAAAAATCTCAATTAGTTGCAACAATATTTAACAATAAATCTCAATATCACTTAAACATACATCAGTGGTGTATATGGACTATTAAGCATCTCTTTGATAAAACTTAAGCATAGCATCAACAAACCAATAACCTTTAAGAAAGAAATGTGAATTTATAATATAATATATCAACCTTTAAATACTCCGGGGAGTAATATGCAATTTAAATTTGACGAATATGTAATGATTTAGAAGGTTTGGCAAATATCACATGTAAAATATTTGTTCATGATGAGTTTATGTGTTTATTATAATGATTTAAATTAAGATTAAGATTAGATTAGATGAAGTGCCAGAATAAAATTGTAAATAAATTAAAAATGTGATGTCTTTTTTTATGGGTCATGTTAACGGGGCTTTGGTTAAGAATTTCAAATAAAGAAAATAATTCCAAATAAAGAAAATAAATTATGATTAGTTCATTGAATACACACAATATTTTTTTTAAAAAATTGATTTTTATTTTCGATGCATTGAATGTACATATATTTAGAAAAAACACAATCTCTTAAATAATGTTAAATAATGTTCAATTTATCGTAGTAATCTCATAACCAAAATTATTTAGTGTTGTTAGATGTATGAGTTGAAATTGAATAATATGTTTTTTTTTTTTTTTAATTTAGTGTTGTTAGATGTATGAGTTGAAATTGAATAATATTTTCAAGTGATAAAAACAATGTATTTGTTGATTCAAACATGTAAAGGTTTATATGTAAATTGTTCTCTTTTTGTGCATTATTATGGTTAAGATGATGAAAAAAATGACAAATTTTGTGTGGTCCAAAAGTGCACTTTTGGACAACTTATGCTACTTAAAAGTATAGTTCTAAATATTAAGCGGGGGTTGAAGTAGTTCTTTTTAAATAAAGGCATGCATGCAAATCCTGGTTTTAGAGTAAATTATTAAATTGGTCCTCACTTTGCAACATGTTCTCAAATATATTTTTTAGATTACGGAAATTTTAAAGAGGTTTTTGTTTCTGTCAAACTCTATATTATTCATTTGATATTAATGTTAATGATTAAATTGACATTAAGTGGTCAAATATAGAGATCGATTAGATATATGGAAAAACTTGAATTTTAATAGAATCAGAGACTTTATGGTTTTGTTTTACCTTTCCATTCATGACGGTGCATCGCATGGGTGTTGATTATTGAAATTTTCGGTTGGCAGGCATCATGTATGGAACGATCTTTCTTCTATTGAAAATTCTTCAGCAATTGAAAATTAAGACAAACTCAGCATATATGGACATACAGACAGGTGTAGTTGCAAAAAATTTCTTAGGGCATGGCTGCCTATGTTGGACCTATGAGATTATGAGGTGTCAAGACTGACAGAAGAAGGATAATGGGTTGATGTTTTGCAATTACAATGTTCTAAATGTGCTTGTCCATTGTAGAAGTTCTATATTGAATAGATAAAAGTATTTTATGTGATATTTAAGTCATTGTTCTTTCATCTTATGGACTAGTCTTTTGGATTTGAATCTCATCATTTGCTTAAATTCTAATTATGATCTATTGAGAGATGAACATTGAAAAGGGCTACGGACATGGTAAGGTGCACCACCTAATATTGGTAGGCGAGTGAAGCTACTTAAATGGAAAGAACTATTGTCAAGGTCAGTGCCGATAGAGTGAAAGCTGCCGTGGACATGTGCTCTTAATTAAAGGACGTGATAATGTAATTAGTCTATGAGATTCTTCTACTTAATAGACTAGTCTTTTAAGTTTGGTTTTTCTCATTTTAAATCTCTATCGATTGAAGTGATCGGTGTTTGTTTCTCTTCATTCATAGACAATGCTTAAAGACATG